CTACTAACTTGAACTCGCCCGTTGGGACATTTCATCACCTCGCACGACCCTAGGCGCTCTCTTTCACTCCTTCTGTTACTTGTTCTGCTTTTTCTCCACCATCAACCTCTCCAACACACAGACGACTTGCTCATGTCTTCATACCATTACACCAGCCCAACCTGCTCATCTCAGAAGCCGTCTGCTTTCCTAGGGGCAAATTTTCGTTGCATCTCATTTTTGCACAGACGCTCGCTTATCTGCTCTTTCGTTAGTCCTCTTGAATCAGCATCGGTTCAAATTCTACTTTGCCCTTGGTTTACTGTCATCTTAATTAGCCTCATTTCTGTTTGAAGTTTGTTTTTTTCACGAAATTATCATTTTCTGATAAACACTTCCCTGATCTTCTCCTCCGCCTCGGTGCGCTCTTACTTTACCTTTGTGCCATGCACTGATCACCGTTCCCATCATTGTCAATTTCCACACGCCCGCATTTCCCTCACTCACTTTTCCCACATCGCCCAAACAAACTGTTTCGGTATGCCTTGGCTCATTCGTGTTTTCACTCAATTCCATTTTTTGCATTATTTGAGGCTTTATTTCTTTGGAACCCTTCATATTTCCTGTCTATACCGAAAATGTCAATTGGAAAGTTCTATCCTTACTACTATTTATCAAGTCCTGGGAAGTCTGTTATCCCTTAACCTGACTTCCCACTGGCTAAATTCAGCTACGTGGGAATTTGCTTCATTGGCACAACACCAGAGTCTGACATCAGGAGGGGGAGGAGGAGGACGACGAAAAGGGTGAGGAAGAGTAGTAGGAGAATGAAGATGATGATAAGGCGGATGATGAGGAGGAGAAGGAGGAGGAGAGAGGGAGGAACGGAGGCGAAGGAGATGGAGCTCTTGACTTGAGCAATGGGACGACGGACAAGAGGGTGGGAATTTGACCATCAGGCCAGCTGTTATCAAGTCTGCAATGCATTGACCAAACTGGACAAAAAATAAACGCAAGACAAACAAACCAGTACACGCACGAAGACACACTCATCTTATCACATACTTTTTCACATGCAAGTTGCCCTGCCTACAGAGGAGGAATGCATCTTAAAGAAGGCACTCACAGGCAATCAGGCATGGATGTGTACTTGCAGACATCATCTGGTGAGCGCAACATTTGGTCGAGGTCCGGCCATCCTGCTACTAACAACATCCCTCACAAAATCTTTCATAGGGTCCACTTATCCCCGTCACTTCACTTACCCTTCCCTTCGCCCCTATCCATGCCCTCTCTCTCTCTTCCTCACTTTGTCTGTTCGTGTCAGTAGGTTTGTGCACAGCCTAGAATTGCTGGCTGTGTTTGTCTGTAGCCGTTTTACGACGGGGCTACGCAACTTTCCGCATCTCTGCGTCTCCATGCCGGTGCGTGATGAAGTGTCCGTGCCTGTGTCTTCTCGTCCACAGTATTGAGAAGGCCAGGCAACCTTTGCTACGGTAGACTTGATGTCTTATTTATCAAAGCCGAACTCGACCGATAACTTACCCTGCGCCAAGACACCGGCCGGATTTAAGTGACTCTCAAACGGAGCTTGAGGGGGTCCTGATGATTGGAGGCAGAAGGTGAGTGGGTGACTTGCAATTGTAGGCAAACAATGGAAACGTTGAGAGATTCGTCGCAATGAATGAGTTTATCTTTTTAAATGCGAAGAGTAGCTGGTGTTCGAC